CTTCCTAAATAGAATATTATGGAGACCTGCGTGTTTTAAATTAAAACACATTCCAGGCCTTGGGTACAAGCAAGCTTCGATAGAAAAGGCTGTTTAAACCTATGGGGACAGTCCTATATTTAGATTACATTAATTCATAAATATTATACTAAATACCACTTAAATTGGCCTTAAATGACTTCAAAGATAATGCATTATAATATGGCTGTCCTGAGAGCACTAACCTTTATGTCTCCCAGTAACTCAGCCTTTAAGCATACTCCACTGCTGGATAAGAAGGGGGGAAGTTATGAATGAATGGCTTGCTAAATTGTTCAAGTGTGATTAGTTAGCTCCGTGCGTGTGTATATGTGTGTGTGTATGTGTGAGCGCGTGGGTGGGTCAGTTCAGCCCCGGTAGATTTCTACCCGCGGATCTCAGCACACAGCCTGTTCTCAACCCTAGAGCAAAGTACCACAGCAGGAGCCTGTTCCTGCCCCGTGTGGAGAGAAGCAAGGACGGGGGAAATATGCAGCAGCTACACTCATGCCATGAAAGCTTGTTTTCTCGGGGATCTGGCAAACCTTTCCCGCCTTCCCTCACACGCTGCTTCCCCCCGTACCCTTGTCTCTCTTCGCGTGTCTGCAAGAGAATCGTGCTCCTCTGCCTCTTCCCTGGTATCTGGCCTGGTGAGAGAACCTGGGACTTCACGCTCCTTTTGTGATAGTTTTTTTGGGGAGGGAGGCATAGTCATGTACTTTATCTTCAGGTTCTTAATTTTCGATTTCCTCCTGCTGTACAGGAGCACCACAATAGGATCTCTTAATAATATTTTCAAGAATACACATCCTGTGCTCTCATTTCAATGGATTTACACCTGAAATTACTCTGGTTGCTACGGTTTTGCTTTAAGCTAATGCCTGTCTCTTCCCTCCTCCCAACACAAACCCACCTTCTCCCCCTCCACACCCAAGGTTTGCTCTCCATACACTTAAAATAAACTACAGCCCACTATTAACCCTTCAGGGTATACCACTGCCACAGCCTCATCCCCTGGATTAGGAAAGAAATCAACTGAGAGTGATGGATCAATTAATGTATAAGCATTATGCATCACTTATGGAAAGCATCTTGGGGTTTCATATTGCTATCCTACTCCTGAGAGCCAAGTTGAACTATCTTTATGCAATTCTTCATCTATGCCTGCAATGCAAAGCCAAAATAAGGAGATCTGAGTGAATACTATGCTTCACATGACTGCATTTAGAGGAAGGAAAAGAAAAAAAAAATAGATTAAAGATGAAATAAAATTAAAAAAAATCATAAAAAGAAGCCAAACCCAATCCTCATCCTTCAACAGCCTGTTCTCAACCCTAGAGCAAAGTACCACAGCAGGAGCCTGTTCCTGCCCCGTGTGGAGAGAAGCAAGGACGGGGGAAATATGCAGCAGCTACACTCATGCCATGAAAGCTTGTTTTCTCGGGGATCTGGCAAACCTTTCCCGCCTTCCCTCACACGCTGCTTCCCCCCGTACCCTTGTCTCTCTTCGCGTGTCTGCAAGAGAATCGTGCTCCTCTGCCTCTTCCCTGGTATCTGGCCTGGTGAGAGAACCTGGGACTTCACGCTCCTTTTGTGATAGTTTTTTTGGGGAGGGAGGCATAGTCATGTACTTTATCTTCAGGTTCTTAATTTTCGATTTCCTCCTGCTGTACAGGAGCACCACAATAGGATCTCTTAATAATATTTTCAAGAATACACATCCTGTGCTCTCATTTCAATGGATTTACACCTGAAATTACTCTGGTTGCTACGGTTTTGCTTTAAGCTAATGCCTGTCTCTTCCCTCCTCCCAACACAAACCCACCTTCTCCCCCTCCACACCCAAGGTTTGCTCTCCATACACTTAAAATAAACTACAGCCCACTATTAACCCTTCAGGGTATACCACTGCCACAGCCTCATCCCCTGGATTAGGAAAGAAATCAACTGAGAGTGATGGATCAATTAATGTATAAGCATTATGCATCACTTATGGAAAGCATCTTGGGGTTTCATATTGCTATCCTACTCCTGAGAGCCAAGTTGAACTATCTTTATGCAATTCTTCATCTATGCCTGCAATGCAAAGCCAAAATAAGGAGATCTGAGTGAATACTATGCTTCACATGACTGCATTTAGAGGAAGGAAAAGAAAAAAAAAAATAGATTAAAGATGAAATAAAATGAAATAAAATCATAAAAAGAAGCCAAACACAATCCTCATCCTTCAAAGACCCATCATGCTTTTTGACTTAATAGTAATTAATCACTACTGGCAAGAAAGTAATTTTTTTCCAGGTAGCCAGAGGCACATTTTTATCAGGATTAGCTAATAAATCAGCGGCATCGCTAGAAAGGAGTTCAAACTCTTCTCGGATGTACTAAATAAAACTGATCTCTGAAACGCTGGCAACTCAGTGTCTATTGAAGCTTCACTCAAACCCTAGTGTGCAAAATAACAATCATCATTATCATTTTTCCTTCCGAAGTCCAAAACTTCTAGGAGGTTAAAAATGACTGTTCTTTCAAGATGAACTCATGCAATTTGGCTTGATGAGGTGACAAGATTTCCCACCTGGCTTTTTTCCTAGGTTGCAGCTTTAGAACAGAAATGAAATGAAGGGAAATGAAGTTAGTATCTTGCTTAATTCAGGAATATGTGTTAAACACATCCAAGCAAGATAAATGATCCCTCTCTCACTCTCCCTCCCCCCCCCCCCCCCCCCCCTTCCTGAGTTTGTCTCTGTGAATACAGGCATACAGTAAGAGCAAAACTGAACTGAAAGAGGAAGAATTCACATCTATGAAATAGAAATTAAAGTTAGCGCATAGGCTGATTAATTACACGTTTAAGATAGAACATAACAAAAGAATAAAATCTCATCAACAAATCAAAGTAACACCCCTCCACCACAAAAATCCTTTATCGAGGTGTTAGCTCAAAGATTTCTTCTACACTATGTTGAGTGATTCTCTTCAGTGTAGCTTTTACTGTTGTTATTTTTATTTTACAGAAACCTTAGACAATTTTTGCAAACACATGCAGGCACAATCAAGCCCAGTGGCTACTCTCACTATGCCTCATCTATCAGACAAAACCTCCCAGGACCTTTCTTTCCCTGTGCTTCTTACTATTATATTTATTGTTATTATTAATAATTATTATAGTACAGATGTCATGTTTAAATGATGCCCATCAGACCTTGATGTGGCTTCTAGGAAGGTAGTCTGAAAAGAAAGCAAGGTTCAAGAGGGCTACACTGATCATTGTAAAAATGGGAAGGGTGTTTGGAGCGACCGGCAAGAAAGGAAGGAAGAAATATCCTGTAACTTGGACTGAGTCCCCGGTCCCCAAGCCCTGAACATTTTCTCTAGCCTGTGAGAAACTGGTACTTTGCACTGTCAGGGTATATTTTCATTCGCATTTCCTGAGGGTGGAAGGGAGGAGGGGAGTGAGTGGGAAGGGGGAAGAGATGCCTGCTAAACATGCCGTTAAGTTCAAGATTTACAACTCGCCAAGGCATCTGGAAAGCTGGGAAGCCAGTAATGCCATTACCAGTGACTCTCTCTGCCAGGAGTCCACCAAGCTGGAGTAGACACTGCTACTGAACCTCTCCTGTAACAGATGCAACTTCCACTCCCTCTGTGGCCCCCTGCAAAACCCTTTCTCCTCCTGCACTAAATCTGGAGTCACACCCCAATCGCTTCTGATCTGATCTTTTTATTTTCTTTTTTTTTTTTTTATTTTAATAACTACATATCTAATGAAATAAACACACACACACACATATATACAGAACCTGAGTTAATAAAGTGGCTCGCTTCGCTCCTGGGTCTCTCCTGCTCCTAAGCGGGGCTACCATGCAAATTATCTTCAACTTCCTCCCTGCGAGTCCTACTTTCCTACCCGAGGATCCGAACATCTCTCCCCCACTACACACACCCTCCCCCACCCCCAAAACGTAGCATCATCTAATCTGAAATGCACCTCCGGAGAGCCTAAGCTAAGCAAGGAAAGGAGCGGGCAGAGATGGAGCGAGCAAGGCATCGCATGGGGAGTACATCTCCACTGCCTTTAAAGAAAACCTAAAAAGTTCCCAGGATGGACTTTGGGCACATTGAAGTAGTGCTTGGAATATACCTGCCTGGAGACTTCTCCCCTCTGGAACTAAACTGCCACCCGTCCCTCCTGGCTTGCCCTCTCCAACACACACACACATTTCCTTATAAGCATCTTAATGACAAAAAGATGTCATTAAGTGGCAAACCATTCCCTTTCGTGAACTATTTACCATATAATTATGAACACAATTGGGTGTATATATGTCAAGTGTATGATTGCATCCTGTGACGAACTATGATTACAAGCCAATGGCATTTCTGCCATCCTCCTGATACAACTATTCTAAGTTTGCTAACCTTTAAAAAAATTAAAAAAAAAAAAAGAAAAGAAAAGGCGCCGGTGCCAGATACACAACAGTTGTAAAATAGGGGCTTCCCAGCTCGGCGCAAGCACAGGGACAGACACACGGACACGCACACCCCTGGGTGGAATACGTGCGGCTCCCAAAGATAAATAAAGAAATCCTCTTCCTCCTTTCAGCACCACCGGCGTGCGGACAGCTCCCTGCCAGCCCAGCCGCC